TGCATTACAGACATTCGAACTCTTTCTATTTAACCACTCTCGTTACAAGTAACCATCCTTGTTTTTGTGCCAGCTGCATATCCAGGATTCATTATGTTCTCAAGAGACTCAGAGGTCTCTGAAGGTTATTTCAACCTTTCGCTCTCCACAACTGCACAGTTCACCACAGGATTTCTCAAAGGAAGACCAGAGACAACCTGTAGCAGAGTCACGTGTGATACTTGTTAGCAAGACAGATCTCTACAACCACTGTGGGCTCCCTGAATCAGAAGCTCTGGGATTGGGGCCTGGGAATCTGAACAGGCACCCCAGGAGACTCATGTGTACTCAAATCTGAGAAGTTCTGGTTTAGTTATAGAACTATAGAAGTCTTTGTAACCAAAATACTTCAGGTGAGGTTTCACTCCAGCTTTCTTTTTTTTTCTTTTGTGGTACTGGAGATTGAACTCAGGGCCTTAAACATGCTAGGTAAATGTTTTATCACTGAGTTACATCTCCAGCCCATTTAAAAATTTTTATTTTGAAGCAGGATCTTGTGAAGTTTCCCAGGCTGGTCTTGAACTCTCAATTCTCCTGCCTCAGCTTCCCAAGTAGCTGAGATTATAGGTATGCATCAGCACTCCTGGCTGAGAACCCTCCAGCTTTAAAGTGACCAACACTGGTATGGTTAACAATAACAGTGATATTATTTAGGTCAATCAACAGGTAACCACAGAGGGTCTAGTTGGATCTGCCAAATGTATGTTCTTGAACAAAAGCCAGAAATTAGTCTTAGAAATATTGTGCAAAGTGAACTGAGGAAAAAGGGGAGAAACTATGTGCTTTACAACCAGAAATGTGGGGCTGGGGTATGGTTCATTAGCGTAGTGCTTGCCTACCATGTGCAAGGCCATGATTTGATCCTCAGCACCACAAAGGGAAAAAAATTAATTTTCTCCCTTAAAACCATAAATACGGTGCTGAGGGGCAAAGCTTGGTAGTAATTGTAGAGAGGAAGAACCAAATCCTTGAAGCACTCTGACAGAAAAATGTCTAAGGTCCAGATAAGGAAATCACCTTGTTGTGACACCCATAAAGGCAGTGGCTGTAAGTGATTCGGTGCTGCACTCCCTATGCGAAATAATGAAATCTTTTTGAGTTAAGATTTTCTATGAAAAGTATGATTACAATTGAGGATCCTACTGAAGGCATGTGGTGAATAATGTTTGTGAGATTAAATTATTTACAGGCGGGGGATTTAACTCAGTGGTGCCACACCTGCCTCACAAGCACAAGGTCCTGAGTTCAATCCCCGGTACAAAAAAAAAATTTAAATTGTTTACATAGCTTTATATCTGTCTTCCCCAATTCACTGAAAGATTTTGCTGTTTTTCTTAACTTTGACAGACAAAATTATAGACCTTGTTGCTAGAAAACCAAATCCAGGATTTCCTGTTTAGAGATAAAAAGATCTTTTGTTGCTAATTTCCCTTCTTCCCAATGTTTTACTAAAAAAAATAAAATTAAAAAGATGTTAAAAATTAGAATGAAATCATAACAGTGTGGTTCTTCCTAGTGAGCCAGAGAAACTTGGAGCTCTGCCTTTCACACACAGCCCCAGGGAGCTATGGACTATCTGTCAGGGTGACTAATTAGAGAACACATTCTCTCCCAGCTGGTCAGACCCTGCTAGCTGCATGTACGCAGAGCGGCTGTCTCCTAGAAAAATCCGGACTAGTGTTCTCTGTGGAAAAGGGTGCTCCTTTGGGAGGACTCCTACTGAGGCTCCTGTACCCCAAGGGAGAGGCAGAGCAGACACTGAGGGACCAACATCGCAGACATGGAGGGGAAAATGTAAAAAAACCTAAGGCCATTCCACCTGGGAGTTGATACATAAAAGTACTCACAACAGAAAAGAGTACATTCCTTTTATCTTCTGGTGTGTTCCAGATGACACAAACTTCCTCCTTTCACATTACTGGGCCTCTGCTGCTGTGACTTTCACTTTCACATAGATCGGCAAAGCAGCCCTTCCCAGTCACATTAAAGCATCCACTTCTGACGATGGCTTTGTATTCCTTCAGAGGAATCCTTCCACAGATAACATCTATTAAATCAATCAAAACATAAAAGGCAAGTAGTGGAAGACACTTGGGAACAATGGAAAGCAGATACTGGAGGGAGTTAACATGGGAAAAAACCACTGAATTTTATTTTTCATGGCTTTTGGCATGAGGGCTGGCTCATGTTGCCTTGCAGAGGCAGAGGGTATGTGTGGATGGCTAAAACCCAGATTAAAAAAATACATATTCTTGGTGGCTTGAAGTACCAGGAGACCGTTTAAGACATACATAGCCTCTAAAAAGTGAGAAGAAAATCCCACAAAATTGATAGCCAGAGAGTGAAGCTCAAACTCTGCATATAAACTGCCCCTACTCTATGGGTGACCCTCATATCTTGAACTAACCATACACAGAAAAAACTCCAAGCAGCCTCATGAGGTCTCAAAGACCTGAACCAATATTTGAGCTGTTGCCTGTGGAGAGCGAAGGGTTGAAACAACCCTGAAAGACTCCTGAGCCTCTTGAGCCAGATGAGAACATAATGAACCAGGATATGAAACTGGCACAAAAACAAGGATGTTGACTTTTAAAGAGAGCAATAAATATAGAAAGAATCTGAATGTCTGCTAGATAAAAAAGTAACATTCCCGGAATTGTAAAGATACGCTTGACCTTTTCTCTGTAAAAATAATTAGTCACCAGATCATGCGGTGAGGAGGGGAGGGGGGCTGTGGGTGAGGAAGAAGGATATAAAAGGGTCAATAAAGTGGGAAGGAGAGGGCCCTCCTCTCCTCTCCTTTTCTTTTCTCTCGAATCGGTGTTTTTTCTTAATCCTCAACCCTCGCCTTGGGTACTGTTCGTCTAGTGACGGCTGGCTCCGTCAGTTGCCTATTTCAAAGAGAGAGTTTTTAGTTTTTCAGACAATTTAACTGACTGTTTAAAAAAGAAAAACTTTCTAGAGGAGTATTATATAATCCAGAATCTCTATAACATCATTCCCAATATCTAAAACACAATCCAAAATCATTCTATATAAAAAAATAGCAGGAAAACTAAGAAGATAACCCTTAGAGATATTCAAGAGGAAGTTGCATTAATAAAATAAGATGGCACTGTAAAAAAGAAATAATCAGTGACTAGGAAGCCAGGTGTAGTGGTGCACATCTGTAATTCCAGCACTTTGGAGCCTCAGGCAGGAAGCCTGAACTACATAATGAAACCCTGCCTGGAAAAACAAATCAAGAATTCTTAGAAACAAACAAACAAACAAAAAGAACAATGGATTTGCTGAAAGCCAACTTGATATTCTGGAAAATAAAATCCAAGAATGTAGAAAAATAAGATAAAAAAGGTAGAAAATATATGAAAAGGTTGAGGCATGGAGGATAAATCAAGGAAATTCAAGTTCCAGATCATAATTTCCCTGAGTGAAAGAAAAGCAATTGTCTTTAGGTTGAAAAAGTCTCAGGAAAGCTATACAAAATTAGAAAGCAAGTAAAAAACTAAGCACCCTTGCCTAAATACATGCTGGTGAGATTTCAGAACTCCAACGATAAAGAGAATATCTTAAAAGATTGAGGAAAAACAAAATAAAACATATTGCATACATTGAAATGAGAATCAGACTGATAGCACACTTCTCAGCAATTTCTATGCTAGAAGGCAATTTTATATTATTTTTAAGTTTTCAGGGAAAATGATTTTCAAGCTGAATTTACTCAGATTACTGACTGGTAAATGAGAGGGAAAATGCAGAAATATTTGTAGAATCAGAGAGCTTATTGTTCATACATCTTTATAGAATTACTTCAAGAAGGGCCAGGGATTTAGCTCAGTGGCACAGCGGCTGCCTCACAAATGCAAGGTCCTGAGTTCAATCCCAGGTACAGGAAAAAAAAAAAAAAAGAATTACTTCAAGAAAATGAAAATACAAATAAGGGGACACAATGAGTTATAAAAGTGGGGAAAGATGTGAAAATTTCAGGAAAAAAGGCTATAGCTCATAAAATTGCTATTCAATAGAAGAGCTAAAACCGAACACTGTCGACAAGATTGTCTCTGTGATTGAGACTGGGTGGGAAGGACTTTTACTCTTATTTTATACTCTTCCAAAGTATCTGCACTTATTTTTGTTTTGATTACAAAGTACTTGAAGTCTAAAATTTGAACTTTTAAAAACCATACTCTCAAAACCTAGCAGCATTTATTTTCTAAGTCTGTTATCAAATTCCTTCTTAAGACATTTAAAAAGAAAAATGAATTACTCCATATAGTTTAGGATAATTTAAAAAAAGATCTGGGCTGCTGCTGTTACGAAAGTTTGAAATAAAACATTGCAGAAAAACCTTTCACCAGTTTAGTCACACACAAAATACAAAGTATAGATAATAAAGATGATTTTTATTTTTTCACAGTAGCATAAAAATGGATTTTATAAATAACAAAGAATACATTCTCCTGCTTTAAGAAAGTTGTCATCTTTTGACAGTATGTGATGTGATAATGCTAGTCACCAGGATGTGGTTACTGAGATTTGAAATGTGGCTAGTGCAAATGGAGATGTGCTGCAAAGGTAAAATGCACATCAGATTTTTAAATAGTAAGTATGAAAAAACCCCATAAAATATTCATTAACATTTAAAAAATATTAATTGCACAATGAAATAATATTTTAGATGAATTTGGCAAAACACAATTTCATTGTTAGAATTCATTTCGTCTTTTTATCGTTTAAAAATATGGCCATTAGAACATTAAAAGTCATATACATGGCTTTTATTTGCAGCCTGCATTCCATTTCTATTAGATAGCCCTGATCTAAAGTACCAAATTTTGCATCTATTGCACAAACGGGTTTCTGGTAAGAGTTTTTGTGTTGTTTTTTGAGACAGGGTCTGGTGATATAGTTCAGGCTGATCTTGAACTCACTATGTAGCTGAGGCTGGCCTCGAACTCATGGCGATCCTGGTGTCTTGGTCTCCAGAGTGCTGGGATTGCAGGTGTGTGCCACCATGCCTGGCTTCTGGTAAGAGTTTTTAAAAGAACACAATTAACTCTTTATCTTTCATTTACCAAGAAACTTCCCCAGCTATGAAGAAAGAATCAATGTTAACAATATTAGAACAAGACAGAAAAAGAACACGAAGTTGGGAAGATAAGAGACAAGATTGAATTCAAGGAGAAGAAATGCCAAGCTTAATATAAAAAGCTGTTGATTGAACGACTTCGAGTAAAATGTTTCACTCTAATACTTGCACTCTTTTAATTGTCCTTTTCATAATGATATTCTCTTAATACTTTCTTTGTGCTGTGTCATTATCATCAACATAATGATTACTGCCTCATTTGGATGCTATTCAAAGGCTTCTGTAGTGGTTCAAATGCCAAGGAATACATTTAAGAGCAGAGACAATCTCAGCGCTAGCCATCACCTTTCAAACATTGTTTATCATGATGGTAACTGGACTTACTACATCTGATTCATCTAAAAAAGCAAATCTTATCAGTAGAGAGAGTTTATCTTCTCTTTTGTTGAAGTTGGATGATTAGCATATTTCCTGAAAAATTTTACAGCACATTTGTGATTTTTGCTTTAGCCCTTTAGGTCATTTGTCACTTGTAGTTTTTCATTCTGCCATGAAATATGAAAAAACAACTACCGTATTTATCAACAGGATCACTCTGGAGATGGTAAATAGCTAAGATGAGCCTGAGAGCTTTCTTTATAATACTCATAAGAAACAGCAGAAGGAAGAAAAATGGAGGAAAAAACCCCCTCAGAACCAATAGAAAGTAGAAGTCCTTTAAGCCACTGACAATATTAAAACATGATATGGAGAAAAGGTTGTGAAAGATTTTACTTTTACATTCTTCAAACCCCATATGAGATTGTTATTGGAGTCAAACCCCTTGATAATCCAATAGGATTGGACAATTTAGCATCTAGGTTAGTGACTAGCAAATAGCAAGTCCTCTATCAATGTTTGTTGAATGAATGAGAAAATTCATCCCTTGTGGTTTATATTTCAATTTTTAAGTCTTATCACTTATTAGCATAAAATATTATGGCTTAATTACCAATATGGCTGGCTACTTTATCAAGATAGCAATTTGTCCTTTGTCCTTGCTGATGTGGAAGTTTTCCCTTTTCCCAAGTTAAGAATGCAGTCAGCCACCTCTCCTCCCCAGCCCTTTCTTGGCTTTTGTGTTACAGCAGGAATCAGAAGTTGTCAGGCAAGAGAAAACAACTTCTGGGCCTGAGGATGTGGTTCAGTGATAGAACGTCTAGGGGTATGTGAGGTCCTGGGCATAATCCTCAACACAAGAAGGAAGGAAGGAAGGAAGGAAGGAAGGAAGGAAGGAAGGAAGGAAGGAAGGAAGGAAGGAAGGTCCTTTTTAGGTTTTTGTTTGCAATAGCTTTGGCTCAATGAGAATTATTTGCAAAATAAGGGTTATAGAGGGAGGTGCTTGGCATTTAACAGGCAGAAGCTATGGGTTTCAAGAGGAGAGGAAGATCCAAAAGATAGGGTGAGGGTGGAGGGGTTGGGGAGATGGACTTCTGTGCTGGGCAAAAATATTAGCAACTGGATTAGGCAGTCCCCACATGGTGAATCCCAACAGTGTGTGGTCTTGGGAGCTATGGCACAAATGTCCTCTGCTTGTCTTCAGAAAACCACATAGGTAGACAGTGAACTTATTGGAGACCAGGATGGAAAGAGGCATAGAGGACCTTTCTCTGACTTCTACTAGGTACACTCTGGGATCTCAGTCAAATGTGAAGGATAGAGAACTCTACTAAGAAATGAGATTGAATTTCTCACCAGTTGAATGGTTGGATGTTCAAAGATAAAACTGTTTAGAATAAATTTTAGTAAGTGTCATTGTAGTAATCTGCAATGGCACCATCTGTGAAAGTGCCTGCTTGGGCAATGACCTAGCCATAGCATACAATGAAAAAAAAAATTGCTCACAGAGCATGAGAACCAGATGAGAATTTTATGCCCATCCAGTCCTTGTTCTTCCTTGTTAGATTAAGAAGCCAAGGTTGAAGGTATAAAAGAATTTGTTCCAACTTGTTGGCCAAAAGCCAGTGAGGCATTGAGGCAAAGGGCTGACTCTCAGTCCACCTCACCACTTAGAAAATTCAAATAAGATTGAGGATATAGCTCAGAGGTAGAGAGAGCACTCACTTAATATGTTTGAGGCCTTGGGTTTAATCACCAGTACCAAAAAAAATTAGATATATTTGTGGCAATTAAAAAAACATTTTATCATGGCCAGAGATGGCCCTTATCAATGTAAGAACTCACAATTTTAAAATGAAATAAAGAAATCAAATTGTATAAAAATATAACTCTGATAATGGAGGTTAAAGTAAAAGAACCATGGATTTTCCAGTTACTCTCCAACATTGAAATTGTGAGAAATGACCTGAAAAGTTCATATTAGTTTATGAGAATAAAACACCCCTTCAAAGGCATTTAACATATAAATATACATATATGTGTGTGTTAAGTACACATACAGAAGTCTGTTAACATTAAACACTGGGTGGGAACTGCTTCTGAGGGCTATGCATGAGTGTGTATGCATATATATTAAATCTACTTAATAGCTAAGTAAGTTTATTTATAATTTCTCAATGTGTCTGTTTTTAAAGGATCATCTTATTTAATACCACTTCTACTCTAACATTTTCCAGTATCTAGTCTTGTCTACTCTATGTCTTTGTCCCACTTTCTCATCCTTTGCTTTTTGCAAAGGGCTTCTTAGTTCTCTCTGGACATCTCTGTCAGGGAATACAACTGTTCTCTACAGAAGAGCTTCTTTCTAGCCACTGGAGCAGCCCATACCCTTATTCAGTGTTGAGAAGACCTAAGTAACCTGTTGGTCAAGCAGCTGACCCTGGGTAGCTGTGGGTTCAGACTGTGCTCTAAGTAGGTCCAGAAAGGAAGTGTGGGCAGAGCAATGCCCAGTGGCAAAAGCTTGTGCTTTGAATCCTTCAAATGCTTCATTGTTGGGAGGTCCTGTATCACTGGAGGTTGGCCCTGCTTGTCTGCAGTTGTACATCCATCAGTTCAGATGTTCCTGTAGGACTCTCTCTGCCAGCAGGGCCCATGGCGGACGAGGACAAACAGCAGCACCATTAGGACTCCAGACACCAAACAAAAGGCAATGGCGAGGATGACCCTTAGAACTGTGGGAAAATAGGAAAAGCATTAATGTAAAGTAGTACACTAAGAAAACAAGAAGATCATGTGTCAGTGCTGATTTCTGCCTTAATTATAAATCTCAGAGGAATTTCTGAAGCAGCCTTGAAGTCAGTGTGGTGCAAAGAGCACAGGACCAGGAGTCAGGAGATGACTTAGGTTCCAGTTCAGCATGAGGTTTGGCCCTTGGGCCCCAGTTCCCCTCTGAAAAGGGAAGGTAATTTACAAATATTTCCAAAGTTCTCTTATAGTGTTAACTTTATGGATTTTTCTATAGCTACATTACTAATTGTTCCTGGCCAGAAGGTCAAAGAACAGTTTGAATACTCAACTGCAATCAATTGAAGCTAAAAAATAGAATCTGTCCATTTTTGAATTTTATTTTCAAGCCAATATATTTTAGAGAAGAACTTTTGAGCATGTGTTGACTGTGGGAAGCATTTTTAGCATAATTGTGCCCAATTATTGATTTGAACCTCTCTATTCCTTTGATAATCAGTCACAAGAAGATAAATGGATGTCATTCTTAAAAATGAAACTAATTCATGATTTCATTCAGAAAATTACTCTTTCTATGCACATCCTCATCCACTACACTATACACATCCTAAATACCTGTGTGTCTCATATCCAAATGTAGTGTATAATTTCTCATTGTAAAAATATAGGGTTACTAGTTGGCTTGGGCAGAGGTAGAGCAAACATCTCTGTGCAAACTCTACTGCTCCATGGAACACAGATGAAAATCATTGATTTAACCTAATGTTATCATTGTAGAGAGGAAGGAAATGAGAAGCAGAGAGGTTAGATAAATTGGTTGAGGTTAAGCAGATAATTTTATTGGGTTTGAATATATGGGAAATTATCAGTCTCATGATTTTAAAAAGCATCTACTTACTAATGACTTCCAAAATTAAATTCCAGTTCTGACCTCTCTGTCAAGCTCAAGACTCTTATATCTAATGTTCACTTAGCACACAGTAGTCCTCCCTTATCCACAGTTTCACGTTCTGTGGTTTCAATCCACACAGTTACCTGTGGTGGCCAATCACTGATGAAAATATTAAATGGAAAAATTCCAGAAACAAATAATTGTTAAGTTTTAAATAATGCACTGTTCTGAGTAGTATGATAAAAATCTCATGCTATCCCACTCCATCTACTCAGAAGGTGACTCATCCCTTGGTCTAGTGTATCCACACTGCCTGTGCTACTTTCCCATTGGTCACTTGGGAGCCATCTTGGGTATCAGATCAACAGTTGTAGCATGGCAGTGCTTGTTTTCAAATACCTTTATTTTATATCATGTATGGTTTATATCTAGATGTCCCCCAAGAGTCTTATGTGCTTATAGATGGGGCTTTTGGAAGAGAATTGGACAATGCAGGTGCTATAGCTAACGTTGTTAGGAAGCAGGATCTGGTCAGAAAAGGCATTACTGGGAGTGTGACCTGAAAGTGTGTATTTTTCTTCCCTGTTTCTCCCTGTTTTAGTTACTTTTTCACTACTGGGACAAAATATTCAACACCCAAAAATTAAAGGAAGAAAGGTTTATTTTAGCTCATAGTTTGTAGAGGTTTTAGTCCAAAGCTGGCTGGCTTCAAGGCAGGGTAGCATGGTAGTGGGACATGTCGGAGGAAAAACAGTCCATGGCAGAGCAGGCAGGAAGCAGCAAGCAGCAAGCCTCCCTTTCCCTTTTATTCCATTCAGGCTATAAGCCAATTGGTTGGTGCTTTCCCATATCCACACCCAGAACTATACTAAAGCAATCAGTGGAGTAATTTAGCACACACCCTTAATCAATAATCACATACCCTAGATCCAGCCACCTCTGAAAGTGCCACCTATAAGTGCATGAGTCTTTGGGGGACATCTAGATACAGGCCATAACACTCCCTTCTCTCTCTGCTTCCTGACTGTCATAGCATGAGCAGCATTCCTCCACGCAGATCCTTCCACCATGCCACATATGTGGTTAAACTTGCTGAATGGGATTTAAACTTCTAAATTGGGAGATAAAACAAACTCTTCCTTTAGGTAGTGAGTGTTGCGTATTTTGTTCCAGTGATGAGGAAAGTAGCTAAGACATTTAAAATAGTGTACTGAGCGGTTGTGCAGGCAATTTAGATATGCCAAAGAGAAGCTGAAAGTGCTTCCTTTAAGTGGAAGGCTGAAAATGCAAAGGTGGGGGGAGTGAGTGAGCAAGAACACACTCACATCACTTTTATTTTAGCAGATTGTTATAAAGGTTCTATTTTATTATCAGTTATTTTTGTTAGTACGTGACTATGCCTAATTTACAAGTTAAACTTCATCAGACGTATGTATGTATGGACAGGAAAAAGGTTGTATATATAGAATTCTGTACTGTCTGTGGCTTCAGGTGTCCACTAGGAGCTTAGAAAGTATCCCCCATGGATAAAGGCAGCTACTGTATTTCCTTGCACACCTAATAGACATTTCAATCTCAAAGAGTCCCAAACTGAACTCCCAGGCTCCTATCTCCCCCCTACCACCAAATCTGTACTTCCACAGCCTTCCTAATCCATTTGAAGATAATTCCCATCTTGTGTTGGTTCAGAACAAAAGCTTTCAACTTGTCCTTGACTTCGTTATTTCTCACACATCCTATACTTGATCTGTCATGAAATCCTGTTGGTTCTATCAAAAAATACATCCGTAAACAAATGACTTCTCTTCTCTGCCCCCACTCTGTTGTGAACCACTAATGTTTGGCAGGATCACTTCAAAGGCTTCCTGACTTGTTACCTAGCTTCTGTCCTTTTTTCTTTACAATTAAAAAAAATTTATTTTATTTTAAAAATTTTTCCTTATTGCAGTCATGGTCTAAACACAAATTTTTAAACACAGAACTTAAATGACTTAAAGCCAAATCATATCACTCCTCTGCTTAAAATAAAGCCTGCAAAGAATGCTCCTCTTAAGCAGAATAAAAGCTAAAGTCCTGATGGTGACATCTTATGGGCTCTGCATCACCTGGTCCCTAATAATCCCTAAGATTTCCTGTCCTCCCACTCTCCCCTTACTCCTTCTTCACTGGCCACATGGTCTGTCCTGCTGTTCTTCAAACATGCCATGCACTCTCCTTGATACTCTTCCCACAGATCCTTACATTGGGCCATTCCCTTACTTTCTTTGGTGAAATCTCCTTTCCTCAATGAGGCCTTGACATTTAAAAGTACAATTCTCATCACCCTCTAGCTTGGCATTTGTTATCCTCATCTTCCAACACACTTATTTATTATGTTTTAAATTGTTTTCTACCCTTCTCTTCTTCTAATTGAGTATAAGTTTCAAGAAGATAGGAACCTTTGTATTTTTTGTTTATAGGTGTATCCAGCCACTTAGAATAGAACCTGGGACATAGTAGATGCTAATAAATATTTGTAGGAAAACAAATGACAGAACTCAGGGGTTGCCAACTTGCAGTCTAGTGTTTTGCTCATGATGCCAGGATATTTCTTAATTATCATAAGAAGGTGAATATTAGTAAAATTGGGCCCCAGGGGTGTCACTGGGACTGCAGATGGAGTTAACACAAAGTTGAAAATAACTGAATAGAATTGAAGAGGGGATGAAGTAGAAATGAGAGATGAAAACAGACACTAATGGTTCTTAAAAATTGCTTTTCATGGCTGATTTTCTGTAGTTAGAAATTTGTTTGCAAATTTTTATTGGCTATGTTGTCATAGCAGTCCCATGGAATATGCCTTCCTACTCTTTATCATTCCTTCTTCCTTTCCTACACATGTAGTAAACATGAATCATGTGCCTGGCAAGCTGTGCCAGATGCTGAGGTTCCATTATTTCTGCTCTTGAGAAACTCGCTGAGTAGTGGGAGAACCAGACAGGCTATCATGACGTAGAGTGACAAACACTAAAACTGAAGTGTAAAAAATGTGCTACTGGACAGAGAGAAAGTTACAATCAACAGAGTATGTTCTATTTGGAATAGAGTTTGGAAAGTATTCTAGATTTGAGCTGGCCAATGAGATGAGTAGGATTTTTCTATTTGGCAGAAGGAATTGAACAAGGGTAGATTTGGGAAATAATGGGCACTTACACACATAGCAAGAGCATAGTCTTCAGGGAAGAGAGACTAGATGTATAGATTGGGGCCCAAATTTTAGGCTTCAAGTTTTCATGGGGCAAATGAAAGTGGTTAGCAATTATTATGCATGAAAGTGACATGGCCTATTTTGTGTTAAAAAAAATAACTGTTGAAAGGATAGAATGGTGGGAATATGGTAGGCTTAGCAAGGAGCTATTGAAAAATCTTTGATAATTTGAAGACACAGAACTGGAGTTGTGGAAATGGAAGCACAGATGAGGGACTCCAAGGACACTCCTGAAGTAGAATTGACAGGCAGTAGTGACAGATTAAATATATTGGTGAATGAGAAGCTACGGGTAAGACAATCTCATGGGTTTTTTCTTGAGCGATTGAAAAGATGATTCAACAGTGAACTGGGATTGGGACCTTAAAAAGGACTGTACTGGATTGGAGTAGAGGAGATAATGAATTTCATTTTCCAGTGGTATTAAGATGAGCTATTGTCCTGATAGAGATGACCAATAGGTAGCTGGAAAATAACAGGTCTAGAATTCTACACTTAGATGTGGAAATGAGGACTGTAGATGTAGAAAACAGAGGTCTCATGGTGAATGTGGAAGGAGGAAATCAAGTACAGGATTTCAGCACATGGTCATTTAGGGGGTTGATGGAAGGCATCTATCCAAGGGAGCCAAGGAGAACAAAGAAAAGACTCAGGGGAGCCCTCTCTCTCTTTCTTTCTCTCTGATTTTACTTATTTATTTTTAAGTTATATTCTTCCTTGTAATGTAAAAGATTTTAGGAGTTTGGCAGAGTAATGTTCTAGATGCTGAGAAAAGAGAGGGATCAGTTGTATCTTACCGAAAAAGAAGTCTAGTGCAGGGAATGACTGAAAAGACATCCCACTACCTG